ACTCTATGCAGTTGAGCACATTATTAACTTGAACAGAAAGTGTCATGTATTTTTAAAGTTATGTGAAGAGGCTGTTAAGGTAGAAAATCAACTCATGGATAAGGCAACTGAAAGAGCTTTCCATCAAGAAATGGAAAAGGGTTTAATCGAAACTCAGCAATTATTCGCAGAACATTTAACACCACTTGATGAAATGTTTTATTCACAATCTCAAAATTACAACAATTATTCGCCTGAAGATTCAGAAATGAATAGGGGAAGCGTTATTGGTGACATTCCAATGATTCGTAATTTTAGATTCTCAATGCCACAACATGAACTAACACAATTAGGCATGAACTATGAAGAAGAATCAGATGATAGAGATTTCATTCAATAAGTTAAATAAATTCATCATGATCCAGAAACAATGTCAAACATCTATTTAATATTTAAGATTTTTCAAAATTGGTAAATAGTTTTTTAATTAAAAGAGACCTTTAACTTCTTCTGTTTCTGGGTCAATATCGATCAAAAGGTAGGCAGGACGAGTTGGAAGACCTGGAAGTGCAGAAATATCACCACAGAAAGGAACCAACAAACCAGCACCACTGTATAATCTGATACTCTTAATTGGGAGAATGAAACCACTTGGAGCACCCTTCAATTTTTCGTCATGAGAGAAACTGTATTGAGTTTTAGCAAAACAAATAGAATACTTTTCTGGCAACTTGTCCAATTTTTGAATTTCCTTTTCAGCAGCTTCAGCATATTCAACACCAGCAGCTCCATAAATTTCCTTGGCAATAGTTTCAATCTTTTCCTTGATTGAAATGTTAATATCGTACAATGGCTTAAAGTTCATCTTGGATTTATCTTGGCAGACACGAACAATAGCTTCAGCAATAGCAACAGCTCCCTTACCACCTTCACTGAAGTGATTTGATGGAACACAGTCATCAGCACCAGCTTCCTTAGATAATCTGACAACAGTTTCAATTTCTTCAGCACTATCGGTTGTGAATTGATTGACACAGACAACAACTGGAACACCAAACTTTCTCATATTAGCAATGTGTCTTCCCAAGTTAGCAAAACCAGTCTTAACAGCTTCAACGTCTGGTTGGGTAACATTCTTCAATGCACATCCACCGTGGAATTTAAGAGCACGAATACTGGCAACAATGACAGCAACAGATGGC